AAGCAATCACAGTCGATAGCAAATTTACTATTTTTCTGTCACCAAAGGAAATTTCAAATTTTCTAAGGGTATGTTGTTACAGCACGAAGCTGTACTGATCCAGGCAACATCCTTAACGGTTATCGCAATGGAGAACTCTTCTATTATCCACATTCGATCGAACTGAGTTGTTCACCAGGATATCAATTAATTGGTGCATCTACTTTGCAATGCCTTAGTAATGGACAATGGAGTGATGCTATGCCACACTGCAAACGTACTCATTTATATACAGATTTATTTTAAGCTACATGTTGATAAGTTACATGTTTGCGATATTGTTCAGAAAGCAAACCTTGATTTTTATTCACTGTTTGCGGTTTTTGATCAGTGACTCGACCGCATCATAAAGAACGATGCATCACTATGTTTGTTTTCATCCTACCATCGATTACTGTATCCAAGTGGATTCGTGTCCGAACGATCCATACCGTTGAATATTTCGCTGAAAATATGTCACTACTTTGAACGATAAGTTGTTGAATTNCTTTGTGATAAACTATTGGAAGGGAATTCCAGCCGCAGAATGTCCACGACCGTCAGATCCAGTTCATGGTAAAGTATTGGGTAGTTCACTGACGTATCAGTCGCGCGTTACTTATTCATGTAAAGAGGGATACCGTCTTGTTGGTCAATTGCAACGAATCTGTTTAGCTGAGGGTAGATGGGCTGGCAACGAACCCATCTGCGAAGGTAACGAGCCGAATACGGTTTGAGATTGTAATTTGTCATCCATTCTTTTATTTAGTTAACCAATTTTGCGTACAAGCCTCTTCAAGACCACTCCGATTACCGCCATTATCACAGTTTACTGCCCTCTTCAGCTAAACTTGACAGGCAATTCTGCAAATGTGGTCCCGCTGTTCCATTTTCAACCAGCCCCCGGCCTTTTTTTTCTAGCTGTAAGCTAATATTCCGTTCTCAATTCTCAATTCTCATTGTTCATTAGCGTCATTCTCCTTGCCTATTTGATTTTCTTTTTTCTTACACAAAGTTCTCTTTGCCACCGTCCATGTTTCTAATCCAA